CCCCACCCTGCCCCTCTCCCCTTGCCCCGGTGTCTGTGGAACAATCTGTGCACCAGACCCTGTGCCTGCCAGCCTCCCTCCCTCCTCTCGCTCGCTGGGTGAACTCCCAGGCTGAGTTGGGAGGTCCTGGTCCCCCCCCATCCATCCACACACACACACTCTCTCTCTCCCCCCCGACCCAGAGCTCTTCCTGATTAATCGCAGAGGAGCGAGCCAGCCGGCCCAGCGCAGGCAGCTGCGGTTTGGAGGCCTGTCAGCTCCCCACTTCTCGCGCGCTGGCTCCTTCAGGGAGCACAGACTTGGCCTGCACCCAGAAGTGCATGGGGGAGGGGGGGGGGTACCCCTCCCTTACCGCTGGTCAGGAACACGGGGTTCAGACAGAGGGGCCGCAGTCCCACTGCCGAAACCCCTGCCCGGCCTCGTCACCCCGCTAACACTGACACCCCAAGTTTACAACATCCCCCTGACAGGACGGGCAGACCAGCTGCTCTCTTTCCGCGGGACGTCTTGGCCTTCCTGGGGATTATCCCCAGTCGCTCCGATGTCTGAAAGTGATTTACACGCCAGCAGGAGAGCATGTTTGCCGCTTTTCAAGATTAAAAAAATATAGCGGGAACAGGCAAGACTGAACATCGCCGTGCGTGCAGGCAGAAATGTGGGCGCTACACCGCTTCCAAAATATTTCATACTGCAGCGGGCCGAAAACCTGGGGACGGCCACTGTCGTCTCTGCGCAGTGAGACACGTTTGCCTGTCGGTTACCGAACGCAGCTCCTTTAAACGTGAATCAGGGGGCGGATTTTTTCCAGTGTGATTCCCAATGGCTTCCTTACCAGTTGCCCTTTGCATTCCAGGCTGCTGGTGTTACTGGGGCCAAGGGGACAGGCTTACTGGTGATGAGGCCAGCTCGTTTCTGACAGCATTTCTCGATACGGAAGCAGAAACATTTTTTTTCCTAGGTGTGTTTTTTTTTTTTTAAGCCGGCGTTTGAGGCTGTGGATGAGCCGGCGAAGAGAGCGCTGTCTGTCCGACTCGCGCGCGCCAGTTCTGCTGGCCGCACTCTTCCTCTCCTCTGGGATGGCTCGTTCCCTCAGTCAGTTTTTACGGCCGCGCGCTGCGGCCCGCTGAACTCCTCACCCCGGTGCCACCCAGCCGGCTCGGGACCGGGGATCTGCGTCTGGGGCCAAACCCAGGCCGGCACATCTGCTATCCATAAACGCCTGCTGCGCTCTCGCCCACCACACCAGCGCCCCAGCCAACGGAAAAATATCTCACCCATTATAGCTGCAGAAAGCCCGGCGCAATGTGGCAAAGCACAGCCTCAGGCATGCCGACATCAGGCGGGCTTAACTCCTTCAGCGCCACAGCGGAGCGCCCAGGTGGAAAGGGCCGCTGAGCCGCCGTGGCCGCTGCAGGTGGCCGCGCGTCACACCCTCAGAGCGTGTCCGGCTCGCCCGGGCCAAGGGAACCAACCTGCAGAAACAACAGAGCAGCAAAGCAAGACGCACGATTCTGGAAGCGCAAAGGGAAAGCCTTAAAGACCCTGCGCGAACAGACAGGAGGGGGGTTAGACCCGTCCGTGAAGGGCGTGGAGATGATTCTGCAGGGCCAGGGGATGGAGAGCCCAGCCAGGCAGTGGTGTCACAGGCAGAGGAGCCACAGCCCCAGGATCCAGGAGGCAGCGAATCAGACGGTCCTGTTATTAACGGTCAGTTTCAACCTGACCGCCAGCCTCACAGCACTGTGTCCCAGGGGGCACAAGACCTCTCCTGCGCCGCTTTTTATAGGTCACATGACCTCTGCTGCAACACGCAGTAAAGGTCGTGACATGCAGTAAAGGTCATGACCTCTGTGTGTTGTCTGTTAAGGATCGTGACCTCTGCTGCGATGCATTGTAAAGGTTGTGACCTCTCTTGTGATGCATAGTAAGGGTCGTGACCTCTCCTGCAATGCGTAGTAAAGGTCGTGACCTCTCTTGTGATGCAGCTGCGTCTGTCTCC